ACGTGTGTTTTCAACCCGAGTTTCAGTTTCTAAATCTTGAGTATTACTTTTTTCTGTTTCTATATTTTCTGCATATTCATTTTTGTTTTCAATGACATGTGTGATATTTATTTCATTGCTTTTCCAGTATCATTTACCTTATTTGACGTCTCACAGTTATTGTTTTAGTTCACAATCTTGAAACGATCACTGTTTTGTGTATTATGAAAACGTGGACAGTTTTTTTTTTTTTTTAAATACAAAGAAAACAAATAAACTCATCTCTAAATATAATTTTGCATTGTGTCTGTGTGTATGTGCATACACTTAAAATATGAGCGAAACACGAAAAAATTGGGATAATAATATTTTTTTGGACATTGAGTTAAAGGTGAAATTTTATTAGTTTGGGAAAAGTTTGAAATGTATATTGCTTACAATTGCTCTCGGACTTAAGATTCACCCTCCCATATCTCATAATTTTTAATGATAGCTCCTTGTGGTGGATACATTAATTTACAGGGCCGTCAATTAAGGAATTATTAGATTTTCCAGTCCGCATAAAACGCTGTACTATTGTGACATGTTATTGTGACCATAAAACTACTGTTTTTAAAGTATAGATGCGCCACTGTGATTACAACGCCATCAGCAAATGTTTGTGCAATTCATTCGTTTGAGATATTCTAACCGTTGATGGCGTACATTGGAAGATATTACAGTTATGGATTTCAACCCTGAAGTAATCAGATCTGTTGATTATTCAAAACCACCTGTGTACCAAGCTCCATTGAAATTTAATGAGCAGTAATCGAAAAAATCTGAAAACACCTAAAAATTGGTTACTTCATGCAAATTAGGTAATAAGTGAGCACCTATTTTAAACTAATCTAAACATGTACACAGTCTATCCCAGAGCATCTATGTACCAATGTATCAAGATATATCCAATGAGTAGTTCATGAAATATTTGGAAAGGTTAAAAGTTGTCAAATATTATACAAATTAGGATTTAAATACACACAAATTTCAACAAAAACTAATATGGCTGTGTATTATTCCAAGCCATTTATCCCTTACAAACATTTCCTATGATTTTTAGAATCCTATAGTACATCTATGGGATTTTATGTAAAATCCTGTAGAAACCAACAAGTCCTATATGATTTTACATTAGCAGTACCATATTACTAATGCTATACAAATCCTATAGAACTACATATGTAGAATAGGAATACCTAGATACATATCACTCCCAAAAATGTTCTATATAAGTTTTATTTTAAACAAATTTAGTCAATCTCATTATAATATCATTTGTATTGTACAGCACGTTTTTTTGTTGTATTTGTTATTTTTTTTTACATACATCTTATATTTTATTTTTTAACTGAAAACCTTAAAGATGCAATATTGTGGAAGACATTTTTTTTTTAATGTTTTTGTTTGATATTCTATATTGATAGATACATTAGACTGATTTATGATGAACTGAAACACTGTTCTTCTACCACACGTCCAAGTATTTCTTCGATGAAAGAAAGAAATTATCAATAGTCGTGTGCACAAAAACAATCAATGCACATGTTACTTTTTAAAAAAAAATATTTAAAACAAATTGTTTTTTGTATTACAGGTGAAGTGCCAAAGCTTTAACGACTTATCTCTCAGATAAGATTGAAAGTATATTTGTAATTTTATAGTGGAGGCTGCATTGACAGAACTTATTTTGTATTTCTTTATCACAAATTGATCCTTCTGACCCAAAATGAAGTCCCTCTTGTACAGCGAGGACCCAGAAACTTGAATTGGTTTGTGATTATAATGATGTTCATAGATTTACTTTCAATTTTTTGGATGTTGTACATGTACATCATTTTATTCCAAGGCAGTAAACGTTTGTTTTATTTCAGTGTATATTTCTTGATAAACTGAAAAGTTTGTAATTACTGGTAGAGATTGTTTAGTGTTTTGCTCATTTGAATTAAAGTGGGGAGTTGTTACCTGCACATGCGTCAGATGGCCATAGTGTTTCATTGTTTACAAACAAGCATCTACCCATGAGGCTTTGTGTTTTTAGTTTTATCTTGCTTGGAACTCAAGCATGCGCAGGTGATGACCCTCTCGCTTTAATATAAAATAATTTTTATGAAAAAAAAACAAGTCTTTTGAAGTATTAAGAAACAGTGTCAGAGTGGGGGGGGGGGTACTTTTTTTCAAATTGTCAATCAACTTATATTATGGTAATAGTTTCATGTCATTTTTATATTTTTCATTGTATTTCAATATGTCTGGTACATGTACTCTTGTATAACTAATTAGTTTATGATGTGTAAATGACAGATGCACTCCTTCCAAAAAAGCTTGATCCTATAGAAATAAAAAAAACGTCTTATTTTTACATTCCCATAATATTTTGACAAACAAATTCATTAGGATTAATATAGAAAAGATTTATGCTGGAATCCTATAATATTTTGACACAAAAAAATATTACGAGGAAAAGTCAATGTAAATTCTCAATACACTGCCCTCTATAAACAACTTTCTCGTTTTACCTTGTTGTGCAAGAAAACAAAACAAAACAAAAACTGAATAAAGGCAGAGGGTCTTCAATCCTCTTATTCACATAGTTCATACCCACCATAGACTCCGGTCAGTCAAAATGACTATTTTGAACAGTAGGCATTAATCAGCGATTCTGCCAATGACGGAAAGATAGAATCTAGGTCAGGGGAACCCCCATGACCTCAAAATTTTCCCTCACGTCACAAACTGCATGACCGAGGTCATGAGGCGCAGCCATATTGTCCTACTCGTCACTCTGGTTCTATTTTTCTCCGCATTAAATACTAAGCCAACGCTATGGAAAAGTGGGATGGTCGGGGGACCCGGAGTGTATGGTGGGTATGAACTATGTGAATAGGCAGGTTGAATACCCTCTGCCTAAATTCACTACGTTCAATTACCCACCATAGACTCCGGTCAGTCAAAATGACTATTTTGAACTGTAGGCAGAGTCAGACGCACAGATTGCACAACTGAAATGTAAATTTTATTTGTTTACAACATGCTTATTTAAAAAGTTACCAATTTAAGTAGTTAAGAAATTCATCTCCCAGTTTAGGGATCATAATAATAGATAATTACTGTAAATAACAATTGTACAGAGATCATTCACATCACCACAAACAATAACAAATTAAATGCAGTTTAAAACTGAATTTCTCTGCTCACAAGTACTTGAAACATATTGCCTTGTAAATTGCTGTTTTTCATTATAAACTACATGTACAATGTCTGCATACCATAAACACACAAGGCATACTATAAACACACAAGTGTAGCTTTATCCTTGCTTTTAATTTCTTGGATAAATACTGATAATGAAAATAACTGTGTACACTAATAAATGAACTGTAAACCAAATTACTGTAAATAGTTCGTCATCTCCAAAATGATTTTAAGCCGTAGTAAGGCGAAACATTTCATAACCATCACTGTGACAATTTTCTTTGCTTATAATTCTTTTGCCCCATAAATTTATTTCTCCACACGACCAGAGTTTTTAAAATACAAGTTCATATTGAACATTATTGTATGTTTTCAGAGATCTCTAAAATGCTTTATTTTTTATGAAAACTAAATTCATGTCTGATTTACATTCAGTCTTATAATTTGATATAAACAAAAAGCATTTGGCACTTTTACTCTGCAGATATCTTCAAAATTTCTGATCAAGATAGCAATAGCATGTCCATGACAAATTATGTCCATTCGACCCAAAAATTACAAAAAAATTACAGCAAAAGATGCCAAATATCACACCAAAAGCTTGGTTGGAAAACTTCTTCACTTTCAGGCATTGTAGCGATGACTTTATAAGCAAAAATGTTTTAAATTGCACATTTCTTTAACTATCAATTTTCTTTCAATTGTTTTGCTTTTTGTGTTCAATAGACATTGGGACCAGATGTGGTCGCTGCTGTCTTACTGAAAGTTTCTGTCTCTCCTGTCATCACATTACTGATTTATGTAACAATGGTAATAGTTGACTAGGCGATAAGAGAGACTGGAACACTATTTGAGAGGGAAAAACAAGTTTTGTGGCTTTCTCACTTTTAGCGAGATCTCGTCAACCATTTACATCTAAGGTCTATTGACCACAAAAGCAAATTGTAACTACTATGAAAGAAAATTGATAATACATGACCCAAATCATTTAAATGGACGAAAAAAAAAAAAACAGTAGTCAAATCCGCAATACAGTAGTTCATCACTACAAAACAGACACACAGGTGTCAATTTTAAGTCAAACAAACACTTATATATAAAGTCAGTGGTACATTCAGCAGTTATATACGACACACAAATAACTATTAATAATATGAGGTTATATGAGTATGCAAGAAGACAGTACAGCAGAAGTATTGACTGGCCAATGCATAACGAAGGTTGATGCGACCACATACTGTCTCTGTGCATACTTTGCGAGTCCTTGTAATTAACCTTATTATTATACATCTTTGCGAACCAACCACTTGATATAAGAAGCCCAGAGCTGAGCAAAATGATGAAAATTATTTTAACTTTTTTGCATTTATAATCGTTCAATATTTGAAATGCACATTTCCTAATATGGTAGGGTGCAGAAACCCCATACAATACCAGGCCATTACGACATATTGTAACTTATGGTGGTACAAATAACAGATGTATAATATCTGAGAATCTCAACTTCAAAAGCTCTCAACAGCTCCCTTGGTCATTGATACCAAGTTACCAGAGCATGGTTTCATGTAAATTTCAAACTTTCATCTCTATACTGCATACACTGATAACAGTAAACTGATTGCAAAATGAAATACACGCAAGCGAAAGTACACATTAAAAAATGATATAACAAGCGATGTAGACAACCCTTCTTAACCAAATGTCTTTTTCTTGTCCTTGCGTTCCTTAAAAAATTGCCTGCATAAATCAATATTCAGATTAGATTTGTTGATATTAAGTTGGGAAAGCTTTTTTAATTAATATAGTCAGACCAAGCACCAAAACCATTGATATATATTTAGCAGTAGAAACAATTCATAACATCAAACATCGTTCACTCATCTGGTTCTTTTGTCTGATTCCATGGTAACCTGAAGAGTCCCTTGGAAGACCTCTCAAGTGGTTCAAGATAGGACGAATTCACCATAGCAGAGATACGCAGTGCCATGCCATCGTCACTTGTTGAAGTTGTTATTGTGTCGTTGACACGCAATTTCGTAAGTAATCTCTCAACATCGCTACTCTCCAGGGGCACTTTGCTATCATTTTCACCACATAAGTACCAACGACGAGTCATTGGAGAATCCTCTACATTGATTCCTTCCAGGGTTTCGCGGAAGGACTCAAACGCTTCCCCCATCAGCTGCAGCTTGGTATGACCACCTTTTTCTATTTTCGTAATCTCATCCAAATCAATGAGATAGATCCGCTCGGCCGCTTTCATAAGCATCTCAATTTTCTTGTGTTCAAGTTCAATGAACTGTCGCTTCTTCTCAGGTGACCAGATCTCTGATTCGCAGACCAATCGTAAATGAACTGGCTCACCTGAAATGACAAAAAATAGTTGACTTGCCAGAAAATCAGAGATTACAAGATGTGTCTACTATCAGAAATTGCCAGAAGCACACTTTAGCGAGAACTACTAGTTTAGCATCAATGAATGTGTGGTACATACACATATATTGATATCAGCTGGTGTGATAATCAGCACCAAACACTATAATTGCTGATTAATTAATTTTGCTATTCATATTACATACTGAAGCAAGAAAAAGAAGACGCTTAAATATTCACTGGGTTTTACGTTCTTCTAAGTCTTTTATTGATAAATTGAAAAAAAAAAATGGTCAAAATTATTAATAAAGTTAATTATTGGCTGTAGCGTTTTCTTCACAAATATCCATACAATGGTATCAGACTGGCTTGCCGAAAAGCCTCAGTGGGTATTAAAAATCAATATGAATGGTATATAGTGACACCAGCAGGGCATGTGTTACATGACATTCCCCTAAGTGTGCAGGAATCAATAACATGCCTGCACATCTAAATCTTATAGAAAAATATTACACATGGCGTGGAAACTGGTTCAGTCTTGGGAATATATTCTCGCTTTGAACCAAACTGAAAGTTATTTTAGAGTACTCCAAAATGGGTATTGTTCTACATGTAGTAATAGAAATTTAAGGCTATATAAAACACTGTTTAAGACAAAAAATAGTTCTGAACTGAATGACAGTTACAAAAAAATTTAATTTTGTTTGATCTAATAATGCATGTGTCTATTTGTGTTGTTTTATTTTGTTTTGGGAAACACAAATAATTTTTGGATACTCTGAACATGCATGCTTCGGGGAAATCCAAATAAATATTTTATAGTTTACCCTCAGTTCCCTGAATGCATGTCATACAAACTATCGTGTACACAGATCATCACTAGAGTGCTACGTACAGTACTACGACATTCATACAATAGCAGAGCAGAGCATTCTTCCATTTATTAAAGGAAGAAAAGTGTGTCAGTAAGTCTGACCAACATAAACTTACCAACATAAACTCTTTTAGGAGCATCATTTTCATCATCTGATGTATCCTCGTCTGGACTCTCAACCCTTTTTCTCTTGTGCTCTACAAATTAAATTAATAAATGAATGAATAATTTGCACGTACAGACTGTTTTGTATGGAAATTACCAGTAATTAGTGATAATATATCACTAATTCCAGAAATCAGATATGCTAAAGCTTATATTTATAAATTTATAAATTATGAATTAAAATGGATAGAATAAAGATATTTGATAAGGCTAACTAAATTGTGTTCTCAGAAACCTTTCCTAGTACTCATGATTGTTGGGAAATCCAAAAGTTTATTTCATCCAAGTGGGCCCAAAATTAATTATTTCTAAGCATACAAGAAACAATCATTCCACCGATATGTGACAAATGTTTTAATTCTTTATTTCATTTTCTTCCACATGTACTTGTACGAAGAAAATGTACTGTAAATGCATTAAATTTTTTTACTGGGTTTTAAATTCGCTCTTTTCACTGATAAATAATTTCTGCTTAATTAAATCTACATGTACATCAAAATAAATCTCATTGTTTCCTTCGTGAAATTAAAGCGGCGGAGTAGTCACCTGCGCATGCGTCTGATGATCATAGCGTGTCATTGTTTACAAACAAGCATCTACCCATGAGCCTTTGCATTTTTAGCATGTGTTGTTATCACCGCTTGAGACTCAATTCCTGCGCGTGTACAAGTGACGACCCTCTTGATTTAAAACATAGTGAATATCCTTAAAATAGTGAAATTAAATGTCAATAATTAAATGAAAATAAATTGTCTTACAGTATCATGAAGATTAACTGTAGTAAACTATAACTATGTTCTAGAAATAACAGAGTACGTCTCATTGTAAGAAATAAAATAAACAGAGCTAAAGTAGATGTGAACGAGAGTTGATGATTCAGATAAGAAATGTGTATTCCTTAGCCCTACATTGTATATAAATATAAATTATATGTTATTTCATTTCTTGTTCTACAATTAGATAACACGTATTGCCCACTTGATAGGTGCCCATATTTTAGTATTAGCAGCATGCAAGTTCACTTTACTACTGGAAAGAGTACCCCACCTCTAAACCTAATCTAACGTAACATACCCTACACTACCCCTATATGGCCCTTCTAAGGACACCTTTATTTAACTTTTTGTCCTTGTCCTTGTCCTTTGTCCTAATTTATATTCAAATTGCCAAGTAATGTGAACGTGAACTAAAATAACATGCATTTTCTCTCATCCTGATAATAAAAAAAGACCACAATGATGACCGGTTTTTTTTGGCCCAGTAAAAGAAGCTGCTACATCTCAAATGGAACTGTGACAAGCTTTGAGAAGCATCGCCATATATGTGAATGTATGAAAAATTATTCATGAGCCTAAAATCAGAGATGTAATATATGTAGCCCTCATTTTCACCTCTAGTCTATTAGGTTGACTCATCAATACCACATTCAAATTTTAGAACAATGTAACAAGATTTGTGTAACCCATTTGTTAGCATCATGTAAATAAGGCCTAAAAAAGTATGTTTAAAAGTGTGAGCTGTTCCTTTTTGCACTTATTCTGCCACTGTATAGCGCCCTCTGTTGACAATTTGACAAAACCTGCAATTTTTTTTTTTTCAGGGCCTCAGGTCTCATGTAAGCCGGCTTATTTCTAACCAGCCTGTGCAGTATTTGCTGTTTTGAAGTTACACCAAGGATATGTTTAGTTGTATCTCTTGTACAGATTTGAAATATAAAACAATTAATCCCCCAATAGGAACAAAATATTCTATTAGATCACAAATTAGATCAAAACGCAAATTTTGATGACAAAACGAAACATCCCCGAAAAAGATCTCATTTTTAAAATTAGTGTACATTATAAACAAGTAAGGGTAAATTATGTACAACAGTTCGCAAGTTTTACTCTATAATTTATTTAAAGTAATTTTCAAAAAGGATTTTGTGTTTTCATTTATAACAAGCAAGATGAAAGGTAAACAGGCTTCCAGAGGATCATAAATGCCCAAAATGCATTTTAATGGCTACAGGTCAAAATTTTGAAAATATAAAAAAAAAACAATGTGACTGGTGATGAATTTGATGCGCAAATGATTAGGCATCACTTCAAATATTTCTTTAGCATGTCACCAGAAACACTTAAATTTCTTTTATTTGGCCCAAACTGCTTATTGACAGTAAATTCAATAAATTTACTAAAAAGTAAACATGGGCAGAAGGTCAGGCCAATTTAAGTCAGGGTTTTTTGTGTAGATAACTAGACAGCTTGATAGCAATAGGCCTGCAAATGTTTTTTGATTAATAGTAGTTTCACTGTAGATAATAGTCTCCTCATGATTTGACAATAGAAATACATCTACCTTTAATACATAAGCATATATGCAGTACTAATAGAGCAAATTCAGTTAACAATGTTCAGTTTCTCAAAACAAAATTTTATGATGTAACCTAATTGTTCTTTGATGGTTTCAATCAAATTTAATATAGTATTTTTTTTTAAATCAATTACCAACAACATACCATTTGAAACATTTTCAGTAAAATTACAGCTAAAGTTTAAAGTAACTTTTTTTTACTTTACAGATAAAAATATATTTTCCAATGTCATATGCTATATCTGTCATCTCATTATAAATACTAAAATAGTCTATATTTATGTTTTCTCCCTGAGTGAACCTGCATACATATGACCAGTTACAGCCAGTTTTAATAGCACACAGTACAAAAGTCAAGTAGGATCTGGATTGTTGGAATTATATTTGTACAGGTTGCTTCGTTTCAGAGGTATGTTAAGGTTAGACATTGTTACATGTATAGAACACTATTATTTATTTGTCAATAAGAAACGTAGTTGCGAGAATACTGGAAATATATCCCTTGGATATACTGTAAAATGACTAATTTTCATTTGTTAAATTTCGCTGATATACAATTTCAGGCATATTCAGTGGGTTTTATATTCACGGTTTTATCATTTAGATAATGTGTTCTCAGCTAAATTTTAAATATTCACTGGGTTTTAATTTAGCGCATTTTTCAGTCGGTGAAATAAGCAAAAATTAAAACGCAGTGAATATTTAACCCCTTTACAGTACATGATGAAAACATGATGGGTTATGAACAGTCAAGGTATAGGAAAGGATATACTAGTATATGCCCTTTACAGTGCTTCAAATACTGAGGCATTAAAGAAAATTAACTTCCATTGAACCCCTACCCAGTCACTTGAAGAGAAAAATATAATACTTGAATGTCAAGGTCAACTTTTGTCACCTTTAAAAACCTGTATGATTTTTCTACATTATTTATAAAAAAATATTAATCAAGATATGTAGCAAGAGGAAAATTATAACTAATTGGTTCAAAATTATAAAAAATTAAAAGAAATAAATTAATCATGCAACATGAAGCATCAAAATTCTTTTGGTTAAATTTATTGTATATGAAATACTAATATTGTATTCTGGAGGCTCATTCAATGTTCTGACCTAATCTATGAAGCCAGTTATCTATAGTGTTTCGTCTACCTGACAGCAAAATGATAATTTTGGGATAAAATT